TCTAAACCGTGGTCTCAGAATTACGGTCACTACTTTAATAGTTAAAATCAAAACCAAGGCTGCACACTTCCACTTTTGTATCTGTTATATTAATCCAAGCCCTGTTTTAGTCACTGAGACACAGCAATGCACTACTGTGTATGAGTAGAACTAGCTTGAAGTTTCTTGAAATTTTGGAACACTGTTTTTTCCTCACATTTTCTCCATATATATTCTTAATGAATGCCTTTTCTTTTACAAGCTAATATAGGGCAACCAATATTATCTCAGATGATAACACGCTTCATAAAGCAGTAAGGATATTTATTTCTTAGTTAGTTTCAGTAATAAACTATCATGTGCTCTAACTCATTTCATTTCTAATTAAAGATTAAATATTTTCTGGCTGTATTTTACATTCTGGACAGCAGTCCAGTTATAGGTGAGTAAACATCAAGGGCGGGGCATAGTTTTTAAATTAAAATAAAGCTGTAGTGTGCTTTAATAGACTTGCAAAATTAGATCAGTCCCATTGAAAGTGATTTTTTTTTTTTTCTTTGATATAGGAAGATTACACAGAAAGCAGATTTTTTGTTTTGTTTTCTCGCTTCAAAAACACCTAATTCCTGCCATTAATTTGTTTTAGGAGGCAGAAATTCAAATTTGTTCAGGATATATCCATGAAAACAGAATCAATGCACAGCACTGTAATATGTGACAAGTACTAAATGCATTTATGTACCTGCAATAGAAAAAAAATCTATTTTATTTTCTAGTAGGTAACAATTACTGTGAAAAATCTGCAGAACCTTGTTGGAGTGTGTTTTTGATGAAATTTAATGTCATCAAATCATTTCTATCCTTCTTTGGGTTTTAGAATATTATTTATTTGAGTTTTCTTTATTCTTCTAATGACCATTCGTTTACAACAGAGATGTGATCCTTTCTGCAAACAGCTGTATTCTGTTCTCCCCCTGTCTTTTCTATTTACAGAAAGCCATTAGGGAAAAACAAAAAACCTCAGGCTACAAAACAAAGGCTAACTTCTGAGTTTGGGAAGATGCAAACCCAATAAAAATGTTATTGAAAAGTAGCCTTAAAAGACTACTTTCCTGTTAATGCTCTAGCCTTAGTCATTTCTGGCAACACACAGATTCCACAGGTAGATCCAGTGCAAGCACTGGGCAGATTTCTTACAGGCTTTCATCTTTGTCTCATGATTTGAAGGGAGCAATGAGATGGCAGGGTTGGGGCTTTTCCTTCCTTCACCCCACTGCAACAGAACTTAAATTCACCAACTTGAAATTATTATACTGGTCTTACACTGAATCTCAAGGGCTCTCAAGCCAGTAGTCTTACTGCTCAATGAGGGTTAGAATCTGATCTCAAGTTAAATTCTGTATTTCTGACATGGAAAAGACTACACAGTTTATATCAGAATTCTGTTCACAAACTTGTACACGTAATTCTGTTCAATATATTGGACTATTTGATATATTGGATTATTGGACTGGGCAATCAGTCCAGTAATAAGCTACATCTAGAAAGTTAGTTTCTTACAATTTTCATTAAAGGACATAAAAGGAAATCTCCTCAGACTAACCATGAGTTCAGGTGTGTTAAGTATATGCTTATTAAAATTCCCCCAGTAATGTCATACACACTACAGCTGAAGAACTCAAATGTCTCTTAGAACTACAGCAAATTACTTTCTGGTATTTAACATTAGGAGACTACATTGAAGGGCTCCTGTGAGGAAAACAAATAACTTTCAAGGAAAGAAAAAACATTTTAATAACTAGTAAATCAAGTATTCCTCCTTCAGTGATTAACTCCCTCATATGCAGTGGCTAATCACTCAGGTGCAGTATGAACTATACTTCCTTCATAGCCTTTGATAACTACTTGCAGGAAATCTTCAAATATCAGCATTTTATAAGACTAATATTTTTCTCATTCTATAGGATGAGGAAACTGGTACATTTTTCAAACTCTCCCTTGAAGGTACTCATCTCTGCTGAGAATCTCAGTTTGAAATTGTTTTATGTAGCAGCACATTTTAAATCAAATTTTGTGAGCTCTGGAAAAGCAAGAAGCGTCCATGGGAACCATCCATCATCTTGAGGTTCAATCTAGCAAGCAGAACCAGTAGTTTGAAATAAAAACTATGAATAGTGGAAAGTTTGTTCTGCTCCTCACCCAAGATTTCCAGGCCAGAGGGTAGAGTACCCCAGTGATAACTGGTATGAATTTTAAGGACAGATGTAATGAAAGGCTGAGGTTCTCAACACCTTCTTTATCCTCAGTGGTCACAATCTCTGCAGTATTCAGTAAAAGATGAAGGCTCTCCTAAGTCCTCCTCTTACTGCTAATACATCGTAAAAAAGTTTTTTTTCCTCTCTTCCCCCAGCAGCCAAGTTGGGGTAAAGCTGGTCAAGCTGGGCTTTTGCCTTTCTAGTTTTCTCCCTGCACATCCTAACAAGTTCTTCATACTCTCCCCAAATTGTCCATCCCTTCTTCCACAGGAGGTAGATTCTCTTTTTCTCCTGGAACCTCAGGAAAAGCTCCCAGTTCATCCATGCTGGTCTTCTTCCCTGCTAGCTCATCTTGCAGCTCAGGGGGACAGCCTGCTCCTGCACCTTTAGGACCTCCTTTAGCTCTCCTTCTTGAGAGCTACCCGCCTTCCTTCCCTTTATCCTTCAGGACTGAATCCCAAGGAACTCTCCCTACCAGTGTCCTGAACAGTTCAAAGTCCACCCTGTGGAAGTCATAGAATCATACAATGACCTGGGTTGAAAAGGACGATGATGATCATCTAGCTTCAACCCCCCTGCTATGTGCAGGGTTGCAAACCACTAGACCAGGCTGCCCAGAGCCACATCCAGCCTGGTTTTGAATGCCTCCAGGGATGAGACATCCACAATCTCCTTGGGCAACATGTTCCAGTGTCGTAGTCCAAGGTAGCAGTCTTGCTGCCCCCAGTCCTGACTTTACCAAGAATTGAAAAATCTACCACCTCATGGTCACTCTGTCCAAGACAGATCCTGGCCTCTCCATCTCCAACTAGTCCACTTCTGTTTGTGAACAGCAGGTCTGACAGGGCATGTCCACTGGTAGGTTCTCTTATCAGCTGCATCAGGAAGTTAACTTCAGCTTGTTCTGTGCTGTACTGTATTTCCAGAATATAGCTAGGAAGTTGAAGTTCTTATGAGAACAAGGGCTGTCAATCACACAACTTCTGCCAGCTGTTTGTAGAATGCCCCATAAGACTCTTCATCCTGGTTAGGTGGTCTATAACAGACCTCCATCAAGATGCCCACCCTGTTGGTCCTCACCGTGATCCTTCCACATGGTGATTCAACCATATCATTCTAGCCCTAAGCTCAACATCAAAACACTCTTTAGCATGGAGAGCCATATCACCACCCCTCTTTCTTTACCTGTCCCTTCTGAAGAGCTTGTTGCCCTCCACTGCAGCACTTCAGGAGTTTCCATAATGGCAACTAAGTCATAGTTTGTGTGCTGCAATATGGCTTCCAGCTCCTCCTGTTTGCATTGGTGCAGATGCACTTCAGCTGAGCAGCTTGCCTCATCTCTAGTCCTGTCATTATTCCCCTAGACTCCTCTCTAGGAGGCCTGGTTTTATCCCCTTCCCCCTTCATAACTCGTTTAAAGCCCTCTCAACAAACCCTGGCAGTTCTAGGGCTAGGATCTGTTTCCTGCTTTGAGACAGGTGAGATCCATCAACAGACATCAGGCTGAGTAAACCACCCCACAGTAAAAAAAATAAAATAAAATAAAATAAAATGAAAGTGTTTGCAATTGCACCAGCCTCTCAGCCATGTATTTATGAAATGGGTTTTCCTGCCCCTTTCAATACACAGAGGATTGTCTCTTCAGTCAGTTTAGGTTAGCTGACCTGTTTCTGTGCAGTGATTTGTGCCCTCCAGTCTTTTTGCTGACAGGACAACAAAAAAAGCTGAGAAACTGAAATGCTTTTGGCTCTGTACAGCACTGCTAAGCAACAACTAAAACATTGGTGTGTTTAAACATTATTTTTCTCCTAACATGGAATACTGATAAACCAGGACAAAAATCAAAACTCAATATCATACCAGACAAAATGAAGAAAATCAGCTCTGTCCCAGCTGAAAACAGGACATATCCTTACAACGACCCTACAGTTTTCAGCTCCCAAGCACTGAGACAGAATTTACCTTACAAGTGAAAACCTACCTAAATTCCCAAAAGATTTTAGGTTTTTTGTTTGTTTGTTTGTTTTTTTAAAGGTAAGCCATCATGTATGTGCTTAGTACCCTAAATAAGTGACTCTGCCGTCAGATGAAGTGAGTGCTTACAGCCTGCACTGGAATGGAAACTACATAGATAATTTTTTTAATGAAAAAATTAGGTTATTGTTTGCTGTACAGAGATATTTCAACCTGGTTATCAGTTTTTGAAAAGCTTAGCCTAAGGATTTTTTGCAAGTCTAAGTGCACATCAGTAACTGTTGCATGCAAGTTATGAATAGGAAACCAAAAAATAGGGAAGCAAACAAGGTATTTTCTAATGCACTTCATATTAGAACTATAGCAAATAATTTTACATGTCACATGTCAAAAATAAGAGACCTAAACTCATTACATTTTTGGGTCCAAATCTGAGAATAACTATTGCAGAACTATCAATAAAATGTGTACTGCTGCACTAAGACTTTATCATTGCAAGTGATTACACTTCCTGACACAAATAGAAAATGTAAACAGTAAAATAGATTGGATGCCCTTTGGGGATTATTTTTTTCCCCCCATCAAATTAACACCAAATCTGACTTCTGCTTTAATAAACTTTGAAAAGGGTAACAACATATTTGTTTCAATATCAGCAAGTATCGCACAGGAATTACATGACATTAATTACGCTTTTAACAGTGGAATGATTAAACAAGATAGACTGCAATGATATGATCATTTATATAATACATAATTCCCAAAATAAAGAGGAAAGATTTCCACACTGACCATAGTCTGTGTTTTCCGGCTCCCAACAATTTGAAGGCCAAAAATAGGGCGTCTATAGACAAAACAAAAAAGTAGGGAATTCAAGTTAGACAATGCAAGCATTATACAGTTCTTGGATTGATACAATTTCTCAAAATTGATTTACATTTTTGGCAGATCTACTATAATATTAACGTGATGATTTTGAAATAGGCATCAAAATAGAAAATTACTTTTGTATGCTCATTTTTTGCACTAGTGTCAGAATGGCATTGAAAAGAAGAACAATGTGTTCTTTTTATTTTTAAAGTTAAGGGAACAAAAAACAAGGTTATGTAGTGAGGTATTTTTTCATCTTCCCTAGCAACATACTCATCACATGACCTAAGAATTGGTTTTAGAAGCAGAAAAGATGGAACATACTTTTGGACACACTGCGTTCTTCATTGTGGAGAGTTTTCTTTGTTGTATGTTAATATTCAGTACTGTTTTCTAGAAGCTATTTGTTAAAAAATGTTAGTTAGCATATCTGGTCTTCAGAGTTATCAAATTTGTTTTCATTTACGGAAGCCTACTTTTTTTTCTAATTATGTAACACCATTTAAAATATGATTTCTTAATGGAAAGCCAATAACTAGTTTAACACTGATAATGAAAACTGCAAATTGCATTGCTAAAACATTTCTTGTCTATCAAATGAAGAATATAAAACAATACAAGGATTTTTCACATCAAGAACTTAATTTTAAAAACCTAACTTTCTAGTGAAAATTTAAATGGTTGTGATATTTATACTTAATGCATTATTTTATATATATCTGCCCACAAGAATTATATATGATTTGTGAAGTTATATTTAGTTAGGTTAATACATGTGGACTAGTAAGAGCAGATGTATTTCAAACTACTGATACCTCCTTGGGCTCACTTTCTGCTTCACTCTCTCTTTCCTGTTGTTTTCTCCACAAAGATCCCTCAGCTACACAAATGGAAACCTCTTGCTGCCCACTTATCTTGAAATTGTTTTAATGTTTATCCAGAAATCAACAAGACTGAAGGGTGACACATTTACACCTACTATCAGGTTAAACATACATTGTGAAAAATCTCTCCATTGTAAAAATGGCCTATCAACTTTAATAACTGCAATTTAAGACTTGCTTTTTACTAAGTAATAACAATGAGCTAAAGGATGAAAAAATAAAATCACAAACTAACTTCGAAAGTTGAGACAAGTTTCTTGCCAGTTTTTCTTTCTCTCTAATGGAGAAGCAATAAGTATTTCTTCCTATAAACTATTCCCTCATTGTGCCACTAGAAGTGAGCACTATAAGCACAGATGGAAATAGAAAGTAAACTCCTCAGCAATAAATAGTAGCAGTCAGAAAACACTTGAGAAGCAAGAAGGTATAAAAATAATCTAACCATATAAATCACATAAAGCATAAAGTTACTTTTATTTAAGTTTTCAGACCTGGGGAGAGAGAGCACTCCTTCCTTTGACATAAATTGCATTTTAGGAGGCACCTAAGAAGAAAAGCTCAACAAAATCTGCTTTCATTTGTCCAACTAAACTTATCAAGGAAGAATCCAACAAGGGGAAATATCAAGTATGTAGAAACCTCACCCACTCAAACAGGTTCTGAGCTGAAACTGGCTAGAGTTCAGATATTGTTTGTGAAACAAAAGCAAGCTATGCTGGAGGAGGGCTAGAAAAAGATACAGCAAAAGAACCTTTTCATTAGTAGAAAGTCAAAGATTCTTATGATTGTGAAAATAGTTGCAAAATTCCCATAAAAACTTTGGATTTCTATTTAGAAATTAGATGAACAACCCCGCCCCTCTCGAGCCCCCCCCCCACTGATGATATTTGAAAAATAAATTGTCTTCTGAATTTAACCCAAACCCATTACATTATGAGCCAATGTCAAAGAAAGTCTCTTTGCAGAGGTTATCTTAGGCATGCAAGGTCCCTTGGGAAACTTAACTGAGGGATGAAGAGGAGGAAGGGAGATCACAGTTATGGAAAGAGACCTTACTAAGTGTTCAGTTACCTTTAGAGAGACAGCACAGAGACAAACCAGTAAAATCACACCAGCAATCTCCAACTAGCTAAACTCAAAAAGAAATCATTCAGAAAACAAATAAGAATATGTATGCTTGTAAGGAGGAGTCTAAGAATTCCCGTGCCATCATCCCTTTGGAGATAAAAAGAAGAAGATAAAACATACACTTTAATTAGCAAAGTACATAATAAATCCCTATAAAAGATTTTATAATGTGTTGTAAGGTAAGCCAAAAGAGAAAATTCACCACAAAGAAAATACTGCAACATGGCAAAGGGGTTCACATAACAGTACATATAAGCACAGAAACGCATTCCTTGTTTGAGCCTCCAAAAGGAAAGTGACTGTGAAAGACAAGAACCTTTCCGCGAGGGAATAAAAAGCAGGTATGAGATCTCCTTGTTGCAGCTCTCAACTAGGCAGGCACAAGAAGCCTCCCAGCTGCAAGCTGTGACCTTGTCTGCATAGTGCTTGAATACATTCACTGGGACCTGCTGAGAAGCACAGCTCAACAGCAATGTACTGCAAGGTGGCCAGGGCTAGCCTCAAGCCAGCAGGCTCCTAGTGGGAACAAAGTTCAAGTCTCCTCACAACCAGCCACATGAATATGCCCTAAATTAATTTTGATATGAAGACAAGACTACAGGATAAAGTACAAGGAGAAAAAAAAACAAACAAAAACAACAGGAAGAAAAAATACTATATGAGATCAGATTGAGGCCTGATAAAATACCTAACAGAATGCTTAAATCATATTATCACATGGGTAAGCTGTCGGTTTATTCATAGAAAACAAAGCACAAAACAAAGACTAGATAACTATTATTCACTTTCAATGCAGGAAATGGCACTGGTGGAGGTAAAGACAAGAGAAATTCTCCTAAGGCCTGGCATAAAAAAATAAAAAAAAGACAATAGAGGGCAAGATTAAAACTTAGAAAGAAAATCCAAAACCCACACTTAAAATAGCATAAACACTGGTAATGGAACTTGATATAAAGTCAGATTCTATTAAAGAACTTTCATAATTCTTTGTTTCTGTGAAAGAAAAAAAAAAAAAAAAAACCAACAATAAACTTGTGCATAGATGAAATGACTGACATTTTCCCAAAGATGTATGCAACGTTTTCTTGCTTAACTGTTTGGTATTATCAATCATGAAGTTCTGGTCTTAATCTACCTTGCCATCTGTCATGCACAATGGATAAAGTGGAATGCTTCTTGAAAAGTGGTTATAATAGAAGAAAAGCTAGCTGAGAAAAGATCCAAAGAGATACCTTATCACAAGACTTCCACAATAGTGCAATTCAGTAATTAGAATACATTCTGCTTTCATGGGAATGGGTGTCAATGAGCCATATTCAGGCTGGCTGTGTGATGCACCAGGTAGATCCTTGCTATCTCTGCTCTCCAGCTATAGTCCTCAGCCTCAGTGCCACACAGGCTCCTGCCAGCACAAAGATGGAGACTGAGGGTCTCAAGACAGAGACCCACAGTCTGACAGCAACAAGACAAGAGGGAATGGCTCCAAGCTAAAAGAGGGGAGATTTAGATTTGGATGTCAGTTGGAATTGTTTTTTGTACTCAGAGGGTGGTGAGGTAGTAGAACAGGTTACCCAGAGAAGCTGTGCATGGTCCATTCCTGGAAGTATTCAAGGCAAGGTTGGACAAGGATCCTGGGCAGACAGATCTAGTGGATGGCAAGTTTGCCTGTGGCAGGGGATTTGAAACTAGATATTTTTAATGTTTCTTCCAACCCACACCATTCTATGGTTCTATGGTGATTTAAAACCCTAATTTTTCTAGGGAAAAAAAAAAAACAAAAAAAAAAAACAAGCAACCAAACATCAAGAAAACACAACAGACGTCTAGAGTATTACTTTGTCCCTTACATCTTATGTTTTTCAGTTCATGCACATAACACATGGCTGCTTTCCTCCACTTCTATAACATAAGGGAAGAGTTCCCATTTTTCTCTTCTGTTCCAGAAGTCTTTACGTAGTTTCACAATCCAGATATCTAATAACTCCATAGAAGAATTTGCTGGAGAGTGGATCTATGAAGACTATGTGACAATGCTTTTACCTTATTCAAGAAAGAAAGATTAGGAAGTAAGAAAGTATCAATAGAAAGATCTCCGGTCTCAAGGAATGAGGTTAGGAATGAGAAGAGGAAGTGTGTGCAAAGAGGAAAGCTGGCTGCTCTCTCTGACCTACTAAAACAGCCCTAGAGCCATGCAAGGAGACTTTGCCCACATAAATGAACTTATCTGTACCTGGGGAATGCTAACAAAGATTGGTTTAACTATTTCTTACAAATTATATTCAGAGAATATTGTAGTATTATTACAACATCCATTAAGTACCACATATTCCTATAATACAAACATTACACAACCAATGTACCTTGTCTCAAGATCTAGAAATCTGCATAGGCAAACACCTTCCCCAGGAGGGTTTCAGATGTTCAGTTACAATATTTTATACCACATGACCATTTTCAAAGGCAAAATTATAAAATATCAACTAGCTTTCTTTGTGAAATGTAGAAAACCTGATGGAATTTTACTTTTCCTCAGCAGGAAATGTGAAGCAGTTCGTCATGAACAAGTATTAAAGAGGGAACATTTGTCATTTTGCCATGACATCCCACTTATAGCCGGAAGGAATGTGGGTGGTAGAACAGTTTGGAGAAAGTCAAGTACTGTTTATCAGTGCAGGCAGAAACAACGCTGCCAGTTTTTATCAGTATGCACTGATAAGGCACTTTGTTTAACTTTATCTGCAATTTGAATAAGCAACCAGTAAGCAGCTAGAGAAAAGAGGCTTACCAAGAACAATATGTGCTACCGTGGAACCAGTTAAGCACTATGAACAGAACAGGCTGTCATAAGGTTCTTCGTGACCATTGGCAGAGCACTGGTTTTGCACTCAAAAAAAAAAAAAAAGCACTCTGTTTCTCTTGAAGTATAGACTTATAAGCCAATTTGAACCACAGAAATCCATAATCCTCCTTTTAATAAAGTCACATGAAACAAAATCTCATAACATAGTGCCTGAAACAATTTGTTAGAAGTAGCTGTTATGCATGGTGAGACATCCTGTGATAAAACAAATAGATCTGTTTTGGCTTTACTGTTAAATTAATCAATAGTAATATTTGAAATAATGAAACAGCAACTTGTGAAAAATTAGTGTTGCCTGTCAGCCTTTATAGAGCATGATTAATTTTTATGCATTAAACTGTATTACTGCAGAAATAAACCATTAAGCATCTTTCAGCTACCATTGCTGATAGTAGTAAAAAGAATTGTTTCTGAAGCTGCTCCACTCCATGACATTTTCTTTAATTCAGTAACTGGAACATGGGAGGAATATTCAAATCACCCATAAACCTTACTTCACATATTACAAAAAAAAAAAAAAAAAAAAATCACAGAATCATAGGGCTTGGAATGGACCTCTGGAGATCATCTTGTCTAGCTTCCCTGCTAATCTCTACAGTCAGCTACAAAGGAAAGCATCCAGGCAGATCTCCAGAGAAAACTCCATAACCTCTCCGGGCAGCCCGTTTCAGTGTTTTATCACCTTCAAAGAAAGAAGATTTTTCTCAAAGAATCACAGTAAAAGTGTGCCTGAGCAGATTTAAAAAAAGAGAAAAAAGGGCACTGAGTCAGGAAGACAAAGGGTTTTGAAATGATTTTTCCCTCTTTGAAATCTCAACTGCACCTGCATATGCTGCATATGAGCTGAAGAGACAATGAATTAGTTCTTGCACTTGCAATTTCCAAACAAAATCTGTCAAGTGTGGATAAGATAACTTCTTTTTTATTGCAAAACTTGACTTCCAATAAAATGCTTCTCTCAAGGCACAGATGATCCAACAAGACAGTGGACAATAGCTAGAGAGCTGAGATATTCAAACATAACTTAAACAAACAGACACCAGATTATGACTGAGTCCTGAGGTGGTTAGCTGAGCAGGGTGACTCAGTGATGTTGGCAGTAACACTGTTTTGCAACAGATATTAAAAGATCCCTACAATGACTGCTATATATAATTTCCACTACAGATACAGGAAAAACAAAGTTGGAGAGTTAAATGTATTCATCAATAAAGTCTTACAGTGGTAGAAGACATCACAGATGAAACCATCTTGCCAAAACCATGAATTTTGCTACTATCTTCACCAGAATCAAGCTTTCACAACAAAAAGTTTTGTTCCCATTTCCACATTTGTTCTCAACTATGTATGCCTCCAAACTTAAAAGTCATAAAACAACAGAACCTAAACCTCACCTCTGAAAATTCAATCTCTTAAAAAACGTGTGATTATCAAAAGCCTGAATATTCTAGGAGTTGGTTTAAAAAACAAGAAGTATTAAAAAACACTACTTTCATTATGAATGTTGAAAGACCCTATATTGAGTATGTAGTTTGTAAAAAAAAATAAAAAATATAAAAAAAAAAAAATCTACATTCTTTCCCCAGGAAGCAATTACAGAAGCATAGCAGCTGAAAGGTTAAATCAAGCATTCCTCACCAGGTCAGCCATATTATCAGCTATGTGGATAGTGATGAAATGCACTCAGTGGGTAATGCCTGGTCCCTAGAAGATCTTTCCAAGGTGCACCTTGCTCTTCTTATCTAAACCCCTCATACATATTAGCCTGAGTGCAGGAAGGTAGGTAGTAGATATTCTTTGGCCCCAGCTTTAAATAACATGCAAAGGCAATATGCCTTACGTTCAGAGTAGTTCAAAAAGTATCACTAAACCTAAGCTTCCACTTTGCTTTGTTGACACAAAAGCTCACCTCTCTCCATGTAAGGTAAACAATATTTAGATCTACCCCCTTTGAGTTAAAATGCTATAGCAGGAACTGACCCAATTAAAACAAAATAAGTAAAAAGAATGATTAGGAATGATTATTTCTAAAGCCACATTGTTTAAAAGAGAAGATAAAACTACAATTTTACAGCCACCCTGGTTGCAAGAGTAATAACTGAAAAAGCATAATTTTGCCTGTAGAAGGGCATTTGTGCAAATAAAGCACAATTGCTACTGCTTTTAGCTTCTTTTATACAACAGTAGCTTGTTTAAAACAAACTGGAAGTAATTTTACTGTTAGGAGTGAATGCGTCATCCTTTGGAACATTAAAAATGAAGTGAATGGGGAACACTTATAGCTCAGTTATACTCTTATACTCTCAGCTGTCCACAGTGCAACTAATATTCACCTGCACTTTCCTTCAAAAGAAATATCATGCTAGCAGAGGTGATGTTTTCTCATGTTTGAAACATTACTACACTAGTAGCAATACAGAATTCAATGCTCAGCACCCCTATTTGTCCTATGCTTTGCAAAGGAAATTCTCAGATACTTTGTCCTCCTGATCACTGCTTATGGGGAAGAGCCAGAAACTGAAGCCTTATCTATTTCATGATTTCTTTCCACTTTTTGCTTACTTCACAACCACATTAACCCCTTTCCTTCAGCAGTAAGCCCCTTCATCCATATGTCATCCCTCTCATTTAAAAACGTGGTGTCCCACAGGGATCAGTGCTGAGACCAATACTCTTTAATATCTTCTTCAGTGACACCGACAGAGCAGTTGAGTGCAGCCTCAGCAAGTTTGCTGATGACAGCAAGCTCCAGGGTGCAGTCAACACACCAGAAGGATGGGATGCCATCCAGAAGGGCCTAAACGGGCTTGAGCAGGGGGCCCAGGTGAACCTCATGAGGTTCAACATATCCAAGAGTAAGATCTTGCACCTGGGTCGAGGCAACCCCCCTCTCTACCAATACAAGCTGGGGGAAGAAAGCACTGAGCACAGCCCTACCAAAAAAGATCTGGGAGTATTAGTGGACGGGAAGCTGGATGTGATCCAGCAGTGTGCCCTCACAGCTCACAAAGCCAGCTGTATCCTGAGCTGCATCAAAAGATGCATGGCCAGCAGGTCAACAGAGGTGATCCTCCCGCTCTACTCTGCACTGGTGAGGCCTCACCTCGAGGACTCCATTCAGATGTGGAGTTTTCAATACAGGAGAGACATTGACTTGTTGGAGCGAGGACCACAAAAATTACTAAAGGAATGGAACATCTCTCCTACAAGGACAAGCTGCGAGAGCTGGGGCTCTACAGTCGGCAGAAGTAACCGAGGCTCTGAGGTAACCCGATAGTGGCCTTTCAGTATCTAAAGGGGAGCTACAGCAAAGAAGGGAACAGACTCTTTAGCAAGGTCTGATGTCATAGAACAAGGGGAAATGACTTCAAGCTCGAAGAGGGTAGACTTAGGTTGGATAGAAGGAAAAAGACTTTTACAGTGAGGGTGGTGAGGCACTGGAACAGGTTCCCCTGTGATGCAATTGATGCCTTGTCCCTGGAGACTTCCAAAGCGAGGCTGGATCAGGCTCCTGATTTACTTCAGCATGTCTGTTCGTTGCACAGGAGTTGCACAAGATGACCTCTGACAGTCCCTCCTAACTCTAAGGATTTTGATTCTATGATTCTTTGATTCTACATGGAAATCATCACATAAGGAAGACTATCTACATTACGCTTCATTTTTAATCAGATCTCTTCTACAGGCTTAATAAGAAAAAAACCTCCCCCTCTAAATTAATACAATTTTAGGAATCATAGTCTATAAGATAATTTCATTTCCTTTACTACACTTCCAAAATTCTTCTACAGTTTTCATTATCACATTTACTGAATCTAGGGGCTTAAAAGGTCATTATCATCTTAGTACAAGATATTGTCTTCATTTTTTAAATTAAATCCCTCTACCATTTTTAACTTTAAGAGGAATTGCTACCATTTACTAGGTTACATAAGAGAGTTACGTAAGAGAGAAAGTATTGTTAAAATTTACTATAAACCTTAGTGTGAGGTCTTTAACATGTGCCTCCCTTTGCACAAGTCCAGAACATCTCAAAAACACTTACCTGGAATCGATAAAATGTGCCATCATCCTTTAGTGTTAGAACATGGTCTGAGATTGGAAAAAAATAACCATGTGCTGCCATCAGCGTTCCCAAATGTAGAGCTTCCACTGTTTGAATATCAAAACAAGATAGAAAAACATTTTAGAAGTTAGATAATTTATTTTAAGCAACTCAGTTTTCTATTTCCTGCAAATAGACACTCCAGGTGCTGGCATCATGAAAGCATTCTTTTTTTTTTTTTTTCTTGGTGATAGAATGATACAACAACAAAAAAAAAGTCTTTACTTTCCTTAATCACTGGCTATTAGACATCCCATTTTGTAGCTGTAATTTCACATCAGCATTAGTGGGTGGCTACTGTGACATTCACATACTTGCTCCAAAGGTGAAAACAGCAATTACTTTTATCCTGATGGTCTTGCCTCATTTTCCTCTTCAGAAGTTTCAGATTACACAACGTTTAAATAGTTGACTCCAACTATATGATATATTCCTCACTAACTTTACCAGAAAAGTAGTAAAGAACAAAAATTTTCTTAAAAATCTCTCAATGTTAGGACAATAATGAAGGATCACAGAATCACAGATTAATTAAGGTCAGAAGAGGGAGGTCATCTAATCTAACCTTCCTCCCTCCCACCCTCCCCATTCAAACAGAACCATATAGAGTAGGTTGTCCAGGACTGTGTTCAACACATTTTGAAGATCTCCATGGACAACACTCCACAGCCCCTCTGGGCAATCTGTGCCAGTGCTCAGCCATCCATACAGTAAACAAGTGCATCCTGAGTACATCCTGATGTTCAGATAGAACTTCAGTCAACTGCCTTTTTTCTTGGTAGTTGGGTACCAAGAGAAAGAGTATGGTTCCATCTTCTTTACACATCCCTCTTCAAGCATTTATAGACATCTGAAAAGATCCCACTGAGCCTTCTTCAGGCTAAACAGTCTCAAATCTCTCAGATTTACCTCATAAGAGACATGCTTCAAGCCCTTCGTCTTTGATGACCTTCTTTGGACTTTCTCCAGCATGTCCACAACTGTCTAGTACTGGAGAGCCCAGAACTGGGCTGAACTCCATTCTCTTTAGTGAATAAAACCATCATACCTACCAGTCATGATTATATGTGTGCTTGTATTTTCACTAAACCACTGACCATTATCAATCTCTAAAGTCTCATTCATTATTGTTAATATTTGGTTCATGATAACGTTGTACTGTAGGAAGAGGTGGTTATTACTTAAAGTCATTCTCTTAATACTGTATTTAAGTCTTACTCTTTAGAATACTCTTATCAACAATGTAACAACTGTAGTGCATGCCCCCAAAATATCTGTGGGCAGCAATTTCTGTTGTTGTGTTAAATATTCCCTAGCATAACCTACTAATACAAGTGCACAACCACTGAAGCATACTAATTTTAAAAGATGAAGCTTGAAGAAGGTTACAAGGGTTTCTGCACTCAATGATAAAGCCATCAGTTATGGGAACGAGTGATAGAGAGGGCAGCAGTGCAGCAGCATAACACCAGCAATATGAAAAGAAACAGATCAAAACAAAAGCCATACAGGAGAACTTAGAAATAAGGGGAAAGTGGAGGATGAAAATGATAAAAAAAAGGATAGAAGTAGTGAGATCTAATAAAGGAAGGTTTTTTTTTTTTTTTAAATCTAAAACAAGACTTCAATGTTATATAATCAGTGAACGTACAGATGTTATAATTAAGAAATATACAGGAAGTTAGGCTAAACAGGCTATCACACCAAAGAAGAATAGATGGAAAGCTTACCCTTGTCCTGGGCTCACTGAGAAAACTGCAAGAGGAGCAATTTCCAAAAGAGATCCTTCCCCACTGGTAGTCAGCTCTTAAATGGGTCTAGGAGAGGTGCAGCCAGAAGCTCCACCCCTTCCAGCAGCACACATGAATTACCTACCTGTGCTCTCAGGGCTGACTCATTGCTCACCTCAGGTGGTCAATCAGAGCTTAAGGCTATGATTCAGCAGTTTCATACAAGCATGAAGAGGTGCACAGTATTATCGTGCAGAAAAAAACCTGGGTCCTCAGCCCTGTGTTCTTTATGAGGATGATAGAATCTTTTATGTTTCAGTTCAACTAAGGATATTTATAAGGTACAGAAGATACAGGAGGTATCTCTAATCTAATTCTCTATACAGGAAATATTAGAGATACAGGAGGTATCTCTAATTCTGTACTAAGGTACAGAAGATACAGGAGGCAGAGTGGGATGTTCATAAGCTATCCCAAAGCCAGCAAGCATGTGTAAGAAGAATGAAAGGGGTCTGGACAGTAGTTTATTGAGAGTACACAACCCTAGAATGGCTTATTTGATACCCAACAATCCTTGTGATCTCTGTGTTTTCCACAGTCTGTGATCTCTGGTTCCTGCCCCTTTGGCAGAGCTCTTATCTAAGAAAATCCAACACACTCTCTCTGGCAGTGAATTCCCTATCTACTGTAAAGTGCTATAACCCTCTTAACAAGACTTTTCCAAATTATAAGCCTACAAGAAAATTCAACGAAAGAATACAGTTGCATCTCTTCCAGCACTTGGGATGTGCAAACCCACACATGAACTTTATCCTAATTAGCTTAACCCCAAGTATTGTTGTTATTCATCTACCTCAAGCTACAGAATTATATTATGCTTTGGATAAGATACTTTGAGCAAAAACATTCCGTGGTGAGTCAGTTGCTGATTTTCTTTTCATTTTGGTTTACTTTGCTTTTTTTAAAATTTTATTAATCTTTTCTTTGTTCTTCACACTGCAAGTTTAAAAAGGTTTTTTTCCAGGCATTATGAATCTTTGTGGAATAAGAGCAAAAAAAAAAAAAAAACAAAGGCAGAAAACGTGCTGACTTTTTCAGGGAAAGATTTCTTAGGTTAAGGGTGACAGGGCTTACCACAGAGTTCTTGACGCAGATGAGAACGTATTCACTTCAGATATAAAAGAAACTAAATATGTTCCAGATTTGCTTCATGCTTTTCTTGGTTTCTTAATTGTAATATTTTTCAAGAACACAAAGAGATAATATTATTATCTTTTACCCAGCAACTGTTAGAGCACATCTGGACTACCATGCCCAGTTGTGAATACCACATCCACTCCAATACAAGAAAGACATAAGTGAACCTGGCTGAGTCCAGTGGTGTGTCGCTGAGTTGGCTGGGGAACAGATCTCTGCCCTGTGAGAAGCTGGAGGAGCTGGGCTTGCTCAAATTGAAAAAGAGAAGATTTTGGGTGTGCCTAGCAAAAGTCTTCCAGCTACTTAGAAGAGATTACCAAATAACAGAGCCATGATTTTTAAAAGATGCATGACAAACAAAAAGAATATAAATTAAGAGAGACAATGTTCACAAAATTAATCAGGGGTGGTTCTGATTTGACATATGGAGAACGTTTTCATGCTGAGAGCAGCTAAGCAGCAGAAGAGGCTGCCCATATAGTCTGGGTCCTTGGCGAGTTTCAAGAGTGAAGGAGCTAAAGTCCTGGACAGCCTGCTTGATCTTATAGTTTATGCTAATTAGAGCACAGCATTGGACTAGAGCCCTCTTGAGGTCCCTCTCAACCTGGAACATATTACAGTTCTGTGACTCTTAAGTGGATGAAGCAGAAGTGAAACAAAGAGCAGAAAACAGGGATGTGGACAGCTGGAGAATAAATAATTTGAAAGCTGCCAGAGCAGCCTATAATCCTGGAAAGGCTGGTTACAGTAGGAGTAAGAGTTGTTACTTCTCTAACTTACTGCTGAGAAACTTAGTGTGTACCCAAGTGTACAGTCACTACTGAGTCTCTACAAAGAAATAGAAAAGACCATGATGGTTTTCTCTAGGCAATTAAAGCAATTAAGGTCAACTGAGATCTGAATTGTTCGCCATAGCAGCCTGTGTCTCATCTTCAGCTACGCATGGAGACTAAGAAGGTTATACTCTCACCTCAAGTACCTTATTCAATTAGGATGAATCTACACTGACTCAGTGTTAAGGTATCTCTCTGCAGAGCCACTATGAGGTAATAGGGACACATAAACTTCCCTGTATTTTCCTTCAACTAATAGACAATTTATTTAAATTTATATGACTATCAATCCAGCAATTTATTCCAGCACTGCATAAATATAAATGAAAAAAATATATCCTTTTTAACAGCAACCTAAGATCCTCTGTAGCTCACACAGGTGAGCAGTACCTGTTCTATTAAAAGAAAAAAGAAAAAAAAAGAAAATAAATAAATGTATGGTATAATAAATATATTAACAGAACCATTCAGTTGGTAGTCTAAAATCCTCTCTATTAATATTATCTGACAATGACGCAACTGCATAACCAAAGCGTTTTTGATTTGGTCAGAGACTGAATAACACATAAATCAAACACAGATCAACTAGGTGAAAAATGTTCACAAAATTGTAAATGGTGAATAATGTCCAGAAATCTGCAACCCTGCCTCACATCAGACTGACTCAAGACTAACACTGCTCTTCTCTGCAGGACAGCAATGTAATTTCCACATAGAATGAAAGGATTCTTATTTCCAAACAACAAAAGGAATGTTTAAATATACATCTGATTTTGCTAAAATCAGACTGAAAATCCAAATGAAGTACAATTGTAGGATTCAGGAAACAAAACATGAAACAAAAAGTGAGCTTGAAAAGGAGAATGCAGCCAGCAGTAGACTAGTCCTACATGCCTAAATGCCTAGAAGTTCAGTTCAGACGGCTTCATAAGTCCCCAGGTATTCCTGCATGTGGAATTAGGGGATTTTGACCTAAAAAAGCATCTTACATCTGGAAGAATAGCAAAGGGAGGTTAGGAACATTAAAAACATTGTAAAGTACATTTGAAAAAAGAAAAAACAAAAAACAAATCTGAAAAAATACTTTAAAATATAAAAGTTACTACTTAAGAAGTTTAATTACTTATATTCAGAATAAAAAAATCCAAAAATAGGAGGAACATAGACTAAAAGCAATAAAAAGCTTCTTCTTACATGGCAACTGTAAACAAACATGCAATGTGATATGTACATAACAATTATTTCCAGGTATTTAGTCACTATGCACAAGGATATGCAATACATATG